GTGTACAGCTGTGGGAAGTTTTTAGTCCTTTTTAATCGAGCGGGAAGCCCTGACTGTGAACAGTTTGATTTAATGATATTTGATTTTTTTTCCCTTGAGGATAATTTTTTCCCTAAATACTAGACATGGATTTGGCCAGAATTAAAACAGTTTTTTTGTATGGCTTCAATAAATTTTATTCCCTTTTTGATTGCACTGGCTTCCCTCACAAATGATAGAATGACAGATCTAATGGTAAGGTTTTAAATGGGAAAACAATCATGGCAGTAGAAGAGCTTTCACACTTCAAAGGATGCATTTTCTGAATGGCTAAATCAAATAGCAATTCATAATGTATTTTGTTGAAACAGCACAAATGAATACACTCAGTGACTAGATTTTCCATTGTTAGGAAATTGGCTACAAGAACTGATACTCAGTGAAATATTCTGTTCTGGTGCCAATGAAGTGATACCACATACACACACAAATATTAAAATGATACCCATAAGGTATGTGCAGACTTCTTCATTTCAAATGCAAAACGTCTTAACTGGGCTTAGACAAATGGAAATTGTGGGTGATTATGTAACGCAATCACCCTGAGATAGCAGCTAGGGATATACGTTTGGACATCAACTAATCAAAAATTGAAATGCCCTGTTCTTTGATATAGCTATTATTTCTAATCCAAACTGAAAATAATGACTTTTGGAAATTATTGGAAAAGGTTGTTAATCTTCAACATGCTGGAACCTCACTGTTTTCACAGTTTGACCAGGATAGCAGGAAAGGGAGAATGAGTCACCAGATAATACTGATTACAATGATATTGTCCAATCAGCAGAGTTATACTGATTTATCACTGCACTCACTTTCTGTGGACAACATTTGCATCAGTAATTGCCTTGTGGTATTTATTTCTTTATGTATATCCTGCCCTAGACAAACCCCACAAAAAAGGAGCTTATAAAATGTAATGAAAATACAAGCATTGAATATTCATTAACTATGCTACAAATTACTGTCTATTACAACTACAGGATAAAAACAGCAGTGGAGGAAAAGTTAGTTCCACCAAATATCTGGTAGAAAGGGAGGTCTCAACTGTGTTTCAGAGGGTGAAATCAGTCAGCCTGGTGGGAGGAGTCCTAGAAAAAAGGCATAGTGTTGAGAAAGCTCCTCATTCCTGCCAATCTGACTACAAGCAAAGGCCATTCTAACTGAAGTTTCTAAACAATTTTCAAAGGGAGTCCCCCAGTGGGGTATTATAGTAGGCATTTCCAAGGCAAATATATACCTGGTCTTTATTTAGGAGCCACTGGACCTGACAAACCAGTTTAAGGAAAATATGCTTTGAGCCATTATTGCTATCTGTGAATTCAGGAGCAATGCTAGATAAAAAGCAGCTCTGTTAAATTAAGCACTGACTCCAGTGTACTTAAAAGCATGTATGTTATTTATTTTTGTACTTAAAAGCATGCGTTTTATTTATTTGTTTATTAGGTATTTTAGTCGCTGCTCACACAAAAGGGTCTTACAGCAACTTACAACAAAACCAGATAATATGTATAAAACTAAGATAAACGATTCAGCACCATACTACTATCAACCAGCCCAAAACATCTAGTTAACCTCCAAAGACCAACCTGAACAATTTAGCCTTGCAAGCCCTGAAGAAACTAAGCAAGTCCCACACGGCATGGATGTCCTCAGAAAGTGCATTCCACAGGGTAGGGGCATAACTGGAAAAGCCCTTCCCCTGGTAACAGCTAACCAAACCATCCTGGGGCTGATCACCTGCAAGAGGCCCCAAGAGGATGACTAAAGAGGGCATGGGGGAGTTGTGACAGGAGAGGTGCTCCCGTAGGTATGAGAGTCCCAGAGTCCCAGACTGTAAAGAGGTTTAAAAATTAACACCAACAGCTTGAATGGGATCCAGAAAGTAGCCAGTGCAGCTGCCAGAAAATTGGAGTAATGTGAGCTGACCATGATTTTCCATGATGGCAGCCTGGCAGCCATGTTCTAAACCACTTGCAGTTTCCAAAGCATTTTCAAGTGTAGCCCTACATAAAATGAATTGCAGTAGTCCAGTCTGGAGCTGAACATTGCATGGATCAATGTCCAGTGCCAGATTTACGCATAAGCTAAATAAGCTACAGCTTAGGGCCTCGCAATCTGCTGGGGCCTCAAATAAAAACACAATATAAAAAAATGATTTCAAATATTAAAAAGGCGTATATATTTTAAATTTTTCTGAGACCAGCTGATGTAATTTAAAACAGTAGGGGGCCTCGGGGTTTTGTATAGCTTAGGGCCTCAGCAAGTCTAAATCCGGCCCTGTCAATGTCTGACCCAAACAAACCAGGAGCCAGTTGGCGAGCCTGACATAGGTGAAAAAATGCCAGCTACCCTACCATGGACACAACCACACCCCAAGACATTTTACCAAGCTGTCACCATGGAGTTTCAGAAGTAACCCTCACGCTTACATCTCAGTCTTTCCCATCCACATGACCTCCATCTTGGATGGATTCAACTTTAGCCAGCTCCCCCTTAACCACTTGACAACCACATCTAGGCACTGGGATAGTGTTGAGAGCCCTGCCACCAGCTGCCTGTAACATGAGGAAGAGCTGTGTGTCATCAGCATATTGACTGCACCCAACTCCAAACTTCCTGACAATCTCTGCAAAAGGGTCCATATATATTAAATAATATCAGAGATAGGACTGAGCCCTGTGGGACCTCACAATTCAAGAAGGTCTCATCAGGAAGACCAGTCTTTCCCCATAGTAACCTTCTGAGATTTCCCTGGAGATGAGGAGAACCACCTGAGTGCACTGCCCCTCACCTCCCGGGAAGAAGAAGAAGAAGAAAAGAAGATCTTGGATTTATACCTCACCCTTCACTTGGAGTCTCAGAGCGACTTACAAACTCCTTTCCCTTCCCCTCCCCACAACAGGCACCCTCTGAGGCAGGTGGGGCTGAGTGAGCTCTTTCAAGAGCTGCAACACTATGGCTTGCCCAAGGTCATCCAGCAGCTGCAAGTGGAGGAGTGAGGAATCAAATCAAGTTCTACCAGATTAGAGTCCGCACACTTAACCACTACACCAAACTACACCATAGTAGTTGATCAGGACCAAATGGTCAACTGTATCTAAGGCAGATGATAAATACAAAAGGATCAACAGCAGCGGCACACCTTTATCCAGTTATAAATGAAGATCATCAGCCAAGGCAACCAGAGCTGCCTTGACCTCATAACCAGGCCTGAAGCCTGACTCAAATGGGTCGAGAGCAGATGTCTCATTCAGGGAGGCCAGCAAGATCCATTTACGATGGCATTTCAATATGATTTCTTGGAATACCAACTCCTGGGTCAAGTGGGCATACCCAGTAGCATTTTGATATTGCATTGAGCACTGGTCCAGTCTATCATTTCCACTATCTGTTTTGAATGTCTGTTGCCTCATCTTCACCTTCAGTGAAATACCATGAAACTCCACATTACAGCATATCAGTAATCATAAAGCATACTGTTTGGGAAAAGGAAGAAATGCAACATACTATATAGTAAGCAATGTTCCCTCTAAGCTGAGTTAGTGTGAGCCAGCTCAGTTTTTTATCCTCCAGCTCACACATTTTTGTCTTAGCTCAGGAAGGATGGCTCCAGAGCAAACTAACTGATGCAGCAGCCAAATTGCTCGCTCACAACTTTAATGCCAGGAGCTTGCAAAGTAGAATGTTTGCTCACAAGACTCCGTGGCTTAGAGGGCACATTGATCATAAGCAATCTTTTTTAAAAAATGTACATCAATATTTAAATACAGGTCTCTCCTATGGTTCCAAAATGCTGGTTGTCCCCCATTTCAGCCAATTTTCTCAACCACCAAGTAGTGGGATCCACAGAGAACTGGACTGAATGAAGCAGACCCCAGTACATGATCACTGCACTGTCCCATGCTGTTTCAGTAAGAAAGATCTGTGATCTATACAGGACACCTCATTTGGCTGGACAAAAGGGGGATCTTTTAAAAGTGGAAACCGTGTTGAACTAGGTTGTCTGAAGGAATTAATGACATGATGTGCATTGCAAGCAAGGGTTTTTTTAGCTTGTGAAAAACATGGACATCAGGAACCATTGCACTGTATGAAAAGATGTTACTTTGTGTTTTGATTGAGTGAAATGTTCAGATAGAGAATAGAGTAACTAAATATCAATTTAAAGCATAATGAAGCTTTGCAATAAAAAATGCTTCAAAGGTGCCACAATAAATGAACTCCCTAATACATTCTGCTTACCTGCTGGCAGAACGATGTGTTCAGCACATTCCAGCAGCATAAAGGCTGCATCTGATCCAGGCTTGTCAACTGCAGACAGACAGAGTGGTGGATGAATTTCCAAGCCTTTCTGCCAAATAATGAACTGAAACCAAATTGATGCAAAGAAGCTTCATTATACAAAAGGCCTTTATACAAAACTTCTATCTGTTCTTTATCTAAGCATACTTGTAACGTACCAGGTTTGATGCATTCTTATCTTGTAGGCATGACTGAATGTATGCCAGGAAAAGTGTGTGAAAATGCAGGAAAAGTGCAAAATGCATGCAAAATTCAGCCTTCTGAAAATCTGAGCTTTCATTTTAAAAAGAGGGAGTCTCTAGCTTTATCACCAAGCAGATGGGCTTGAACCTACATGGGCAGTTATTGATGAAGTGACATTAGCAACAAGGAATGCTGAACAAGATTTTCAGTGGTGATGAGGTTTCAGTGCAGCTCTGTCCCAATCCCTATGACTGGCCAAGGCAGAGTAATAGTTGCAGGAAACATATGCAGAATAACAACAATTATGAAAATTTAACTGCTCTATAAATAATTCAGCTTTTTGACACAGAATTTAGGATTCCTTGGCACAGATAAGTTGATTGCTTCCATACAGACAACAGTCCTGCATATGTCAGTTATTTCATGCTAGAATTTTGTTTTAAAAAAATATTCTCTGACTATTTGAATTTCAGTCTTATCAATGAATCTCTGAGGGATCAGTTGCTTGTAACCATCCAGAAGACCTTCACCTACACCCGGACCCAAGCACAGCATCTCTTCATAATCCTCATGGAGTGCATGAAGAAGAAGGAACTGGTAGGCACTGGCAAAGATATTTCCTAGATATGAAACCAAAGAGGTCCCAGAACATATTAGCCCAATAGATGTGCAATGTTTCCAGTTTCAAAGCCTAAGCAGACTTTATGTCTTTTAGCAAGTTGGGTCTGGGTTCCTTCAACCTGGTTTGCTTTTTGGTGTAGTGGTTAAGTGTGCGAACTCTAATCTGGGAGAACCGGGTTTGATTCCCCACTCCTCCACTTGCACCTGGCTGGATAACCTTGGGCAAGCCGTAGTTCTGATAAGAGCTGTTCTTGAAAAAGATCGGTTTCTGTCAAGAGCTCTCTCAGCCCCACCTACCTCACAGGGTGTGGGGAGGGGAAGGGAAAGGAGTTTGTAAGACGCTCTGAGACACCTTTGGGTAGTGAAGGGCGGGGTATAAATCCAATCTCTTCTCTTCTTCTAGGAATGTCATTTTAAAGAACAGAGAGAACCCTTAGAGTTTTCCCTTGTATGGCCGTGGCCCCGCCCTCAGCATGCCCGGCGTGCCTGCGTCACTTCCGGGTGACACGCATGTCGGGGCGGAGTTCCCCCCGGGGCCCGATCCGGCGGCACCAGGGAATGGGCCTCTGGGGTGGGGGTTTCCCCGCCCCCCGGGGGGACTTGGCAGCCCTACTCCTGCTTTCCCCCTGCTCCATTGTTTTCCAAGCTGAAATAGCGCCAACAGGGAATTATTTACATCACTTTGGAGCAGCACATGGAGTATTTGAAGCACATGTCTCTCCAAAGTTATGAAAATAACTCCCTTCCCAAGCTGCCTCTTCTTCTGAAAATGGCATGGGGAAAAGCAGGAGTCCCTCTTCCCCCAAGACTGCAGTTCCAAGCTGAACAGAAATCCCTCTGATCTTTAAAATGACATCCCCTAGAGCTGCTGTGTGGCTACAGAGAAAACAAATTGGGCTAGGGGAACCTAGACCCAATGAGCTCCCCCAAACATGTAATGTTTAGTTTGTCCCTCATATAAACACTGAAAATAGATTCAATTTTGCTTTAATGCTTTTGTCTACATATGCTGACAATGGTTAAGGTTTAGCACAAAACTATAATTTGAATCTATGGTTTAAAGTTTGGAAGAGTCCCCCATTTCCACTGTTATTATTCCACTGTTTTCTTATGCCTTTTGTGGTCCACTTCATTGTCTTCTATCTGTATCATAATATTGTTAATGGATTATATGTTTACACAGTAACTGTAATGTTTAAAAAAGTCTTGTAATTTTGTAATAATAAACTCACTTCTGCTTAATTGTTTTTTCTTTTGGATGGAGTGTTGTTGAGCAACAGGAAAAGGGTGGGGAACCTTTAAAACTAATTCAGCAAAGAAGTTTTCTTATAATTCTTTTTAGTGCATGCATCCTGCAAAGATTAGTACCAAACATGCCTTGATTTTCCCCCCATAAATTTTTATTTTTTTTAACACATAATAGGGTAAGAAGGGTAAAAGGGATGGGGTAAGACATAAAGGGAAGTTCCATCAAGCTGTTACATATTTTCCGTCTTAATTCTTTGTTTCCAGATCTCTTTCATTTATATATTTACTAAAGCTAGTGACGCTTAATCAGATCGCTAAAATCTTCTATAATGTTTCCTGGAAAAAGTCAAGTTCTGTACAGTTCAAGTTAGAGTATCTCCAAGTTTATAATAGTTACATTCATTGTTCAAGGTCTTCAAAGTTTCTTTCCACCCAGTCATAAAATGGTATCCATTTATCTCTCGCTTTTTGTTTACTTCGGTCTTTTAACAAGTCCGACAATATATCCATTTCTGCTGTATCATTTTTTTTGTCAAAAGTTCATTTTCCATTGGTATCTCTGATTTCTTCCAGTACTTGGCAGAAAGAATTCTTGCTGCCATAACTATATGTATAATTAAGTGCTTAACTTTCTTATCTTTTACATCAGACATAATATTAAGCAAAAACAATTCAGGTTTGAATGGTAGCGGTATCAAACATTTTTTTGTAACATTTCATGCACCTTTCTCCAATATAACATCACTTCTTTACACTTCCACCAAACATGAAAAAAGCTTCCCGTAGCTTACATTTCCAGCATTTGTCAGACATTCCAGAGTACATTCTGCCTAATTTCTCTGGCGTTATATGCCACCTATAGAACATTTTACATAAATTCTCTTTAAAGGAAACAGATTTTGTTATTTTAACATTTGTTTTCCATATTTGCAACCAATGATCCAGATCAATATTATAGCCAAAATTTGGGGCCCATTTTATCATACATTCTTTAATCACCTCCAAACATGCCTTGATTTTGACATTATGAGGTATGCTTTGGCTGCTATGTCTGCTAACATAGAATCCTAAAACACTGGGATAAATTTGGTAAGGCAAAATTCCTCAAGAATTCCTACTTTGAAGTTGATTTACAGACAATGCCTTTGGGAGACCCAGGTAGCCTTATGCAGGTGCAACATGAAATCACAATTAAAGTGACCAATATATGGGAAAAGGATTTAATGCATGCGTGGAGGCTGCAGGGTGAGCATGAACCTGTACCCCTTAATCATCTACACTGTCTACCTGCATGGTCTATTTTCCAAGTAACTTAGGAATGCCTGTATCACAAGTCAGCTTTTTCTAGGCCTGTGACTCCTATTACATGTGAAATCTTCCCTATTGAATTGGAGCAAGCCATTGCTCAGAACACTAGCCTGCTGTTTCTAAGGCCAGACCTGAACTGTTTGATGGAAGGTGATGGCGAATTAAATAAAAAGGGACTAATTTCTCCCTTTGGTTTTAGCTGTAGTATATCAGTAACTCAACAAAGGAGTTATGGCTTGAGCTTCTGTTTAAATTATTCATCATGCATCATAAATTCATAGAGTCTTGTAAATTATTATACTCCTTACATTTCCCTGAAAGTATTTTGGTACTGATCTAGATAACAGAATCCTAAATGTATTTTCTAAGCACTGCTGCTGCTACTACAACTAACAATCATTCAGTGCCACCAGTGCTGCTTCTGTCCCATAGCTGGCCTGAAATCATACTGAAAGGGGTCAAGGGCAGATACTTTATCCTGGAGTTGCTCTGCAACTACTTCTTCTGTTATTTTGCCCAGTAATTACAACTTAGATAATGGGCCGCATCATTCTTCATTAGCGAAGAATGATTGCCTGATTTACAGCACAAAGAAAGATGCCTTGGGTCAGTGATTGATTTATAATGGGAATTATGGACTAACTAGGAATAAGGCCCATTGTGGAAATAAATACAACGAGCTCTAGAAAGAGGCTCTGGGTGGGTGCCCCGGTCTTGGGCACTCAGTGTCAATTTGCTGTGGTGACTTCAGCAGAGTATAATGACACTGAGTCCACCATTTTCTCCAGAGGAACTGATCTCTACTACCTGAAGAACAGTTGTAATTTTGAGTGATCTTCAGCTCTCACCTGGAGATTGGCAACAATGGTTCCCCAAGAGGGTATGGCTGGTTTGGAGGGTGGAGTCTATGGCATTCTACCTATCAGAGGTCCCACCCCTCCTGAAACCTCACCCTCTCCAGGCTCCATCCCTCAAATATCCAGGAATTTCCCACCTAGAGTTGGCAACCCTATCTCCTTCCCAGCCAACCATCAACCTAACTTTATTTCCCCCTCAGTCTTCAGCCCCGCCACCCCCACCTACAGCCTCCACTGTACTCTGAAGCCCTGACTGCCACATCACATTGGCTGTCATGGGGGCATCTCAGCAGGATATAAGGACACAGAGTCCACCATTTTCTCCAAGGAAACTGATCTCTGCCATCTGGAAAGCAGTTGTAATTCTGAGTGATCTCCAGCCCTCACCTGGAGATTGGCAACA